CCTCTCTCCCTCTATCCCTCCCTTCTTCCTTCGTTTCTCTCTCCAACGTTCTCCTTCCTTCCTTTCCCCTCTCCCTTTCCTTTTTTCCTTTTCTTTTTCTTTCTATTCTTTTCCTTCCTTTTCCCTGTCTCCTTCCTTCCTTTCTCCCCCCCCCTCTCTCCCCTATCCCTCCCTTCTTCCTTCCTCTCTCCAACGTTCTCCTTCCTTCCTTCCTTCCTTCCTTCCTTCCTTCCTTCCTTCCTTTCACCTTTCTACTTTTCTTTTTTCCTTATTCCTTTGTTCCAACTTAATCTAAAAATCGCTCCCCTGGAGGTGGGGGGGGCAGTCATCGTGGCTTGTTTCTTCCAACTTATCAGCGATTCTTATGTAAAAGAAAGGGAAAAGGGTATCTAAATCCAGATCAGGGGGGGACACCCCTCTCCCCCCACACACACACTGGCAGTAGGCCAAGAAAGGCCTTTGGTGTTTATTTCATCTTCTTTTACCTGGGTGGTTGGGGTGAGTTATTTCTCTCTCTCTCTCTCTCTCTCTCTCTCTCTCTCTCTCTCTCTCTCTAAATTCCTAACTTTTTCTTTCTTTCCAAGAAGTCCGCCTCGCCTCCGCCGTGGGAGAAGGAAAGGAACCAAACCTCCCTGCCCCGCGGGGCTTTCTCAGCACGCCTCGCCCCCCTCCCCGCTTCCCGCCCCCCAACACGCTTCCAATGTTGTCCTACAAATAGTAGGCGGGGGCGGGTGGGGGGGGCGAAGGACGGAGTCGTCCTCTTCATTATCGGACTCAATGAAATGACTAACTATGTACTTACTTCCCGGTGGTTTTGGGGGAGAACCAACCCTCCCACTTCTGCGAGACAAGGTGACGGGGGGAGGGGGGGGAGAGAGGGGAGGATGGAGAAGAAAGAAAGGAGAAAGAGAACCTCGTAAGTTAATCTCTCCTGTTTCCACCCCACCCCCCCTTTTCTCTCCCGCCCCATTATCCCCGCACCCCGCCTGACAAAGAGCGAAGAGAAAATACCAAACCCCCTTCGTAAATTCCTAGGCAACCGCCCGCGCGCGAGCCCAGGTTCCCAGTCTCCTTTAGCCACCGTCGTGGTCTCCCCCCCTCCCCGTCACTCACCCCCCCCCCTTCGCCCCGAGATTGGAGGAAGGGGGAGAGTGAGAAAAATCCAATCTGGGCCAACAAACTCCGGCCGCAAATAGGGGAAAGTCTATTTATTGAGAGGCGTCGCGAGTTACGCGCGTCGTTGCGCAAGGCTCCCCCTTTTATACTTCAGGGCAGGAGGCGCGCGGGGGGGGGGGGGGGAGCCCCCAGGGGGGGGAAAGGCCCCCAAGGGGGGGGAAGGCGGGGGGGGGGAAATCCACGGGCGAACAGACCCACTCGGCCTTCGACGTCCCCCGGGATTTTGTCCTTCGTTCCGACCTCACGAATATAATATTCGCGCGGTCGGGTTTTTTTGGATACAGAATTGGTATAGAATTGGTAACGTTTTCTCTCGCCCGAACGGATATACCCGTGAACTCTGCTCTCTAGATAACAACAGTCTCTCTCTCTCTCTCTCTTTTCTCTCCCCCCTTCCTCCCCCCCCCCCCCATTAAATTGACGTGTTCGTTGGCTTTTCTTCTCTTTTTTTGCTCTGAAATGTTATTTTTTTAAAAAGTATACCCGGTTCGTTCTGAGGTCCACTGGCCAGCTAATTTTGCCTCGGATGTTTTTTTCTTTCTTTCTTTCTTTCTTTCTTTCTTTCTTTCTTTCTTTCTTT